CTCTTTATAGAATCAGGTCTACTGAACATAAAAACAAAAAAGAAACAGAAAGAAACAATCAAAACCAATAAAAAAGAAAGGCAGTCAACGGTAAACACGTTGTACTATCGATTGGCCGGAAGGAGGGCTGAACAACCAAAAAAGGTTTGCCGCATGCCGCAGAGCGAATGTGGGAAATCGGGAAGAAGCTCCGGTATCCGGGTGATTCTGGGGCGCATACAAAGCTCAATTTTTTTCTGTTTGGTAAATAAATGTGAAGCAATGGATTACGACAAATTCTTTTTCATTCGTCGTTCCCATTGTTATAAGCTATCCTGTTCTACGTCTTGTGCTAAAGTAGCACATACAGTAGCGCTCAAAAGTCTTCCGTGAAATGCTTTGACGTTTTTTCATTCATAACTTTTTTCTTAGTGGAGCAAATCGCGCAAAATTTGGATATGTTTAACTAGAGCATATTTCACCCTACCCAACACTACTTGACTGCGAAGCTGCAATATTCACAGCTCAATATAGAGCAAGGTGCTCGTTGCGGTAGAGATTTTGCTAAAGTAAAGGTGTTGACGTCTGCACTTATTCGCACCTGATGTGCCTTTTTCTCATCTATTGTGTTCGGCGTTACCGCTCGTACACTTTAGACATGGCAGAGAGGAAAGAGTTTCCAGAAGGACCATCATCTGTATTTTCAGTCGATTTTAAGTTCATGCTTTCTGGAATATCTGAAACATGATCAGATTGCAAGTTAATAATGGTAAATATTTACAATAGACCCACGCTCCAAATATAGAAATTTCGCAAGAATAGATCCAGTAGGAAAGGAGTCACGACTGAAAAGGACGGCTGAAGAACCATTTCACCGAATACTTTTGAGCGCTACTGTATGTCCATGGAAAGGTGAAATTTATCTGATTGAAAGTAGACAGCGCACAATTGATGAGTGATTGAAGCGTTATTGCATGATTCTGGTAGGAAAGATGTCATCAAAAGCATCGAGGGGTGCTAGAACGAGATGGAATCAAAATAAAAGAAGCTCATAGGCTACAACAAAAAATGTTTTATATATTACTTTATATAAAGCGCTCGCGTCTGTCTGTCTGTCCGCCTGTCTGTCTGTTTGTACGGAAATTCATAACTCCTGTCCCCGTTGACCTAGGACGATCAAATTTAGTAGGAGCACAGGCGGAAGGATGCGAACACATATGGTGGGTGGCAGGACCGGACTCCCCCCACAGGGGGCGGGGTCTGTGCGAACAAAATGTCTCAGCGGAAAATCATAACTCTCGATCCGGTGAAGATGGAGAGCAAAATCGATAGGAGTAGAGGGGGCAGGATGGGACGATAGATAAGGCCTTAAAGAACATGATCCAATCACCAATTGAACCCTAACGCCTTTGTTATTTACGATTTAGCTGTGATTATCTATGTATTTCATTCGACAAGAAGGGTAAGTGCACTGATAGAGACCGATTATGAAATTTAGTTCACTTCTTGCTTACGACCGCTACCCAGCGAAGTATCACGATTTCTCTCTGCTTTGATATCATTCATGGCAGAACTTATCCGACCGCTAACAGTCTTGGAGTCTCATTTAATGATGTATCCATAGATAAAAGGAGCTACATTCATAAAGGCGTTTGATAATGGTATTATTATGACTCGACAACATTCGTAAGTACCATTCAAGGCTTCGAATGCCTACCAGTCAATTCTTTAATGGGTCACTATTTTTAACATCAACAGCGACAGATCGACACTTTTAATCAAAAGCATTAGGCATCGACACATTTTGGATATCGTTTGCATGCCCTATTGTTCCTCTGTCGAACTTCGTGTTCCAAAAAGTATCATTTGTTAAAGAGGAGTGTGCTGTTTACTGTTTATCACAACTCTATCATAGGAGAAGGGAAGTCCGGCGTTAGTAGCGCGATCCGACTGTCTCTATATATGAAGCGGTAACTTTGTGTGCCTGTTTGTGGGTAGGTTTGTGCGTCCTTTCGAAAGTCACTTAGGCACGATGAAGAGTGTGAATACCACGCGAGAGCGGTGAGGAAACACTTATGAATTTTATGAAATTTGTGGTCAACCGATACTATCACATTTGTCCTCTATCAAGTCGTAGGTAAGTGGTAGTGTGCATGTGGTGCACGCAATAGCGTGCGTAGCCCAACTGGAATATTATATTACGAAAATTTCGCCTCATCTAAAGCATATTTTCTTGCACATAAAGTGTCACCAATTTCACAGCTTCTAAACATCGCTGAGTAAACAGTGCTTGTTTATATTAAGTCGCACCTCAGATCATTCACATAACTTCAGAGAATCTTTCCGCGAATTCAGGAAACAGGTTCAAGATCAGCAACCCAAACACATCTAGCAGTATAGGTTTTATTCCAAACGGCCACTTCGATTATGACCGTTCACTGATCAAATGAAAGACTTCTCCATAATGAAAGGTGCACCATAAGATCGGCTGTTCAAGAGCTCACAAACCTCTAGAATATCGCCCTGTAGAACTTGATGAGCGGGATTCCGAGTATATCCGGCTTTCGAGAAGGTATCTTTGGCCCGACTTCTGACAAAAGGCGAAAGAACGCGTAGTCCAGTCTTCGCGTGATTTAGGATTCCTTCCATGTACGATGGGCGATAGCCAATCACATATAAGGTTCTGAAGTGTAGGTTACGAAATAAATCAAGCCAAGGTGCAATGCGTAATCTATTACGCTTTCAGACAGTGCTTTTCCAGGTTGCGAGATGACCGGTACGAAACCTTCCCAGCCGTCCTGCTCTCTCTCTACGAGCGAATGCCCACTTGATGAGTATTGTGATGTGCAAGGATGTTGCCGTGAGTGCCTTCTAACTTCCTCTCTCGATTACTAGGCAATAATTTCACAATATCTAGTACTAGAGAGGCATATTTATGATTTAACCCTTTGACGACAATGCCGATTTCGACGACAGCGCCCATGGAACCACGCCCCATTCCTTTCGCGCGCGGCTGGCACCCACCGGTGGGTGCCATGGCCTCCGGAGAAACTCTTTTTTTTNTTTTTTTTAACTTGATGAACTTCGCATTATTTCCGTATAACAGAAGCATCAAATCTTATTTATCTTACATAAAACGGAAGCTTAGAATAGCACTTCGGCTTTGGAAGCAATGTAGGCTAGAATTTTGGTAATAGTGTAAACAGGAATTCGTATAACATCCAAGGAACTTGAGATGAAGAGATCGATTGCGCGGTCACATATTCTCAAATTAGGTATTCAATGTACTGCTTCCATTGCTTCCAGGACACACTAAAATCTTGCCAAAGTATCTAAATTTTCAGTACAACTCCATTGACTAATAAACAAGCTCCTTTAAAGCATTTATATTCGACATGGCCAGCAGCAGACCGTCTTGAATATAAATACCACGAAGTTAGTTAATAAATATGGAAATATTAATAAGTTTCAAATGTGCCAATAAGGGAGAAAACATGGTGGCACCCAAATTTGGGTGCCGTGGTCCCATGCGCCAGTCATAGTGGCACCCATCGGCGGGTGCCATGGTCGTCAAAGGGTTAACCAATCAACGCTGCCTATACCCTAGTGTTCTGACTTTGCTATTTAGAAATAAATGTGCAGATGCCCGATGATTTAATAATCTGTTCGGAATAGTAATGAACTATTAAAATGTTTGGAGAGTTTTTACCGTAATCTAAGGTCTTCTTCAGGTGTAAATTTTTCAAATAACATGTTGGTATATCAGACAATATGTACTCCATTCTATTCGATTTTAACGAATGATCGAAAATACATACTGTCTGGCTTGTCCTGGTCGACGAGAACACCTTTAAGATTGGCTAGTTCGAGACGGTTTTGTTCCATTGCTGCATTCAAAGTGTCCAGCCGAAAGTATAACATCTCTTGAAAGGGACCCTTTAACTGTGCGACAACAGCTTCTAATACATTATTCTCTTCCAGTCATACAGTAACAGAGCACAACACGCACCTGATGGTTCGGTTTTCTGAGAAGTTAGCGGCGATCGCTAGGACCACTCCAAAATCGTTTCCACTCGACCCACTCGACGTAGGCGTGCACAATTCGTCTCTCATATCATCTCACAAAGCGTTGCAGAAAGCACTGAATTTAGTTATGCTCGAGCAGCGAATCGCGAATCGAAAACGCGGTCCAAGTAGTTCATTGTGTGAGGTATTCAAACATTGAGGGCTGGTACCATCAAGTTCCATCGAATATTCGTCAATATTCGAATTCGCCACATTAAGCCTTCCCGATAGTCCACGGTAATTCGACTGGTTTTTCGTAATCCAATATCAACTGAGCATAATTTCCATGACCGTCGCGATTTTCAAGAGTGATTTCATCCTCTTTGACTGAATGCTGCAAACCATTTACGCACTGTGCTAATCTATAGAGCAATGTCTCTTTGAATATCTTATATCTTCACCGCATGTTTAGCTGTTCTTTAGCTTTCGCAATAGGGAGAAGCATCAGGTTTCAATGCTTCCAAGTATCTCCCTTATTCATACACACTCTACATAAATAGAACCAAAAGAATCTCCACGCACTTTAGACAAAACACACAGGAATTTTTGCTTTTTCAGAAAATATGCAATTTTATAAACTTGTACAGACAAGTTTTGATATAATAGTTGAGAAAGTGTATCGGAAACCGGCAGGAACTCTCCCAACAGCACAACTCCTTTTCATACTTTACTGTTTTTAAAGATGAATGAGCAGAACAGAACACTAAGGTATGGTAGAAGGTTGTCGATGCTCCACTACGACAGGTGTTCATATAGTCTCTGTACAGTGTGATGAAAAGCAGCTGAGAATACTCCTCTTTCCCTTGCACTCATAAAAGTTTGCGAGGAAATATGGCAGGCGGTTTCCTCCTTTGAGACCGGTTCAAAGCGGACCGTGAAGCAAATGGAGCAGTAGTATATACTGTGAAGCATTCCAACGTCATATTCCAGCACGACGTTATTGTAGAAGCAGCAACATGCTACCCTCTCACAATGGTGCAAGAAAGGATAAATTAGAATTCCTGTGAGTAGTATTTTAACACATTCTATAACCACATTTTATTTCCTTTCGTTGTCTGTTCACTTCACTTGTCTTCCTGATTTATATACACCGGTTCCAACTCTTTCAGTCCCTGTACTTCATATATCTCATGTGGACAAGGAAAATTTTATAACGATTCGTACTGTTCGCCAGTTGAAGGCAGTCAAAAAAAATTTTGCTGTGGTGCGTTAGTGCTCCTCACTTAAACACAAATATTGTATCTGAAGCTACCGCCTGGACTGTGATGTATCGCCAAAGCGTCTTTTGCCCACTACGAGTGATATTTACGAGTGAAAGACTGAGCAGGGTCTATTTTTCAGTTACTACTTTTTCATTTCGAAACCTATACTTCAGAAGCTAGATCAAAAAATAACGGCAGTCCCTTCCCGGATCCATGGTTTGCTCGCCTATATTGCAATAGTAAATATGTAGGCGAGCATGTCTTGACAGCTACGTATGCTCGCGGCACTACTTTTCCAAAACAGCTACTGAAAAAATCAGACTACCATTTCCCACCACCTGGCAGTTCCACCTAGAAAAAAGCGAAAGATTTGTAATGCCTTACACTTTTGTTTTCCTATAATCCGGACATGTTGAATAGGTTTTGATTTGTTTGTAATCTTCATCATGTGCGTTTTGGAAAGGGTCGCAACCGTCATAGAACTGTAAGTAGTTCAGAATTCCTGATCGTTAGTTCATTAGGTCCAATACACTAGGTCAACTGCAGAAACTCCCAGAAGGTCGAGCACAGAAAGTGTAAATCAAACGGGCAACATTTTGTGGGTCTCTTAGTTCTGACGTCCCACTCAAATAAATGAATAACAGGGAACGAATAGACACTATGAGCAGTCGTAAGATTGAGAGGTGACGTAAACATTAGGAAGAGAAATGAGCAGCAAAAGTGCAAGAATTCACTCGCTTATGACATGCTCCAAATGTCGGCTGTGGAGCTTCATGCGCGGCTGTATGACGACAAGTTGACCCAACTAATATCATCCTGGCAATGGTCCGCCGAGTTCTCCGAACCGGGATTGCGAGTCTATGATCAAAATTATTGCCTATGACATCCTTGCTATCTTCCTAATTTACATATGATAGCTTTTATCACACTATGAACGCTGTTTTTACTTCTTTGTCTCTACTACGTGCAAACACATCGACTTCAAATGGTCATAGAGACTTAACGTAATAGTTTTTATTTAAGAATGACATCAGTATACTTCTCATCACATCATTGTGAAATTAGCTCTTTCATTCTGGCGACAAGCAGATGGATCGATCAGAGTCAGTGACCACCCTGCAACTCAACTGTCTTCTCTGGCTCACTCATGCTTCATAAAATCACCAGATATGTGTCTGATTAAATGTCGATGTTAGCCCATGGTATTATCTTCCTTACCATTAGAAGAAGAGCAAAAAAAGAGCTTTTTCGAACTATCCTATCGTCACACTATATTTAATTTTCGTCTGTCTGCCTGTTTATACTGAAAATCAATATCACCTCAAGGAACACTTGCAGAAGTCGGGTCAAGATTGGGAAGGGTTGAGCATGAGGCAAGACCAAAAGAGCTTGTGTGAGCTCAGAGGAGCCCCCTCCACCGGCGACGAAGTGCATCGAGATTGCAAAGATCCCACTCCTTCTAAAAGTTAGGAGAAGCGCTCTAGCGTGGGAGAGATGATTAACTCGTGCAAAAAGCTGGGATTGGGTAAGATTTGAACATCCAACTGGTTAACCCACCCCGGAGCTCCTTCCTTAACTTGTAGAAGGGGAGGAGCTCCGGGATGGGTGAGATGATTAGATGGGGGACGGTACGAATGTGCGTCCGAGGGTGCGCGCGGCGAAGGTCGTTACGGTTTGTATAACTCTGACGCCAATTTTCGGGGCTTAAATTCTATGTAGAGTAGTTTAGTACCTCCTAATCCACTCTATCAAATTTGGGTCCCAATGATAGGCGCCAAAGTCGTCCAAATCATTATGGGCTTCGCCGCGCAATTTGCCGCGCGTATCCTCGGACGCACGTTCGTACACATACCCGATTAGATGGGGTGGGTGTATGTCGTTTGGCGCGATGGGGTAAGAACTGGCCTACGGACTACTTGAACTCGGTTCCTTTAAATTTCCCCGATGCGTCATTTTTCTGCCCTCGTCTGGCGCACTCCCCTCTGATGTGGTCTTTGGGTGTTGTGCTCGCCTGTCCAATGGGACCCCCACCACCACCGCCGTAGACTTCACCCGGGGTGTTTTTCTCTGCGCTCTAGCCTCTTGCCGTCAGGGATGCAGAGAAAGTTCAAGCAGTCACGTAACCGTAAGAACTGAAGAGACGCTGAGCACAAAAGTGCCTGGCACCCCCCAACTACAT